GGGAAAGAGGAGCTCTACTTACAACTCTGTGACATCTCTCGGAATACCTTTTGGCAAGACCTTCAAGGCTTTGTTGCTACATCGGACGACCGTGTCCAGGCAGGTGCACTCTGGGGGACAGCGCGAGAGCGGGGAGCAGCTGTCACCGTCATTGCCTGTCACCGAAGAGATATGGAAACCAGACTGTGGTTTGGAAGGCGTGGAAGGGACTGCAGGCCTGCAGCGCGGGACACTGGAGCCTGGGGCCACAGAGGGCGTTAGGCTGAACGGATCGACCCCACACGGTCTGCTGTGCACCATTCTCAGTGCGGACGGTGGAGCTCTGGAACAGCTCACAACGATAGGAGTCATTTCAGTTATTTACACAGATTAGGATTTTAATTAGAACACGTCAACATACATTCGACTATGGACGAACTGCAAGGAGCTAGATGGGAAGAGACAGAGGGACAGAGAGCTCGAAATGTTTAGCAAAATGGCCTGGCCCCTTATTTTAGAATGCACAGCCCAGCGAGCTCTCTGCTCACTAACAGCATGCGGGTTGTTGGGCAAGTCATGATGCACCTTGTGTAGAGAAAGCAAAAAATACGCCGCGACTTTCACGATGACCTCATAAATACAGTCTGCCCTACATGCCTTACCGGGCTTCATGGGAATTAAGTGCGATGATAGAGACAGAGCAATAAAGAATGGCAAGTACTGGGGCCAGCAGCTGGCGTAATGGCTATGTCGCTGGACTCCCATGTAGTCGACCGCAGTTCGAGTCCCGGACCCAGCCGCTTTAACTCACGCCGGGCACATGTGCGTGCATGCCCAAGATCCCAAGAGGAGAATGAAGGAGAGGGGATTGGGGATTGTGGCGTGGCCATCCCCGCAGGGGGTAATTTCTCGCTTTCTGTCTCCTTTCTGTCTCTGTCTCTCTGTCTTTCTGGTGAGTGTGGCAGAAACCTCTCCCCCAAAAAAGAATGACAAGTATTTCTGTCTGCTTTACTTGAACGTCTAAGAGGCAGGTGATTTTCTCACTTGAAAATGGTAGTTACTAAAAGAGATGCCCTAGGACAAAAGACCGACGTTAAAGTGAAGTTATAAAATGGAACCAGCCACGAGTTGGAAACCAGAACACCTATGCCCTTCGGACGCGTGGCTCCCACAGACCGGGATGGGAAGGCGGTCCGAGAGCACGTGTTGCACACGCGTGCACAGCAGCATCGAGTGGTCAGGCGAACAGGTGGTGGCCGACACCTGGCGAGGACCTTACCGTCATCGCAGGTGAAATCCTGAATGGCCACGTCTTGGATGGGGATCTCTTTGAGGAAGTAGGGTTTCTGACAGCGAGGGTTTCCTGTCACAATCCGTTTCTTCCTGAGCCACTCCCCCAGCCAGGCCAGGTAGCAGTTACAGTTGAAAGGGTTGGCCAAGAGGTTCCTACACACACACGTGAACACACAGGTTAGTGCGGGGTAGCGCTGCCTTCTCAGCCCCCCCGACCACTTTCCTACCTGATTTCTTCTTCTTTGTATTCCCACCCTCCCATTCATAATCAATTACACACAGTTTATGGGGTCGGTGGTTTTTTTTAGTTGTTGTTTTTTGCTAAAATATTTAAGTTTGGAACTTAAACCGTAACAACATTTTCACGTCAGAGAATCCTTCAGATAACTGCATGCAAAAAAATACAGCGAAGACGGCAATTCGAGGTTTTTGCAGTGCGTCCTGAAAAATATCTCATTTAGAAGTAATTTAAACTTGTCAGAAATCTGACTTGCTGTCAAACTTCCTGGCACTGATAATGCAATAATTTAATAAAAACGATGAAGGCTGATTACCTTATATTATTGAGTTTAACCTGACAACAGTTATTTCATTAATTTGTCGGCTCGAGATTTCCATCTCCTATCTGCTCCAGAGAATAGGTTTCCCATACACGCTGACAGCTGAGTTGATTAAATGCCAGTTACCAGAATGAATGCACTTCGACAAATCTCAATACTGGTGGCATCTCGGCACGTCAGCACAAACCTATCGACAATCCCATTATTTATAAACACGCCGTCTTTAATATGCACAAATTAGTCACTCGATGTAAAGTGTCATGTTTCATGTGGGAAGAGGATTAAGTACTCTTCTGATGGATGGATCTTCCCTCGAATTATTTCTTCAGTGACTTGAGCTACACAGAACCTGGCTTTCCTCGGACTATCTTCCCACTTCCTGAATTCTAGCCATGTCTAGATGCCTCCATTCCGGGGACATCATATGCACTGGGACATTAACCATCTCAAACACTGCTGTTTAGGTACTGCCGTGGAAGAGCCCCGAAACATACCATTTGAAGTCATGTTTTTTCCTGAGGTCAGTTTATCGACCTACACAAATTTCTTACTTTAAAATTATCTACACAAAGTATGCTTTTGGACAGCCTCAATCTCGTCCGAATTTCCCTACTAGCACGGTAAATGCCCTCTGGTGAACAGTGTTTACTTGGCCTGGTCATCGCGTGTCTCCTGACATTGAAAATGACCCTTTTGGGTACGATTTGTTGACAGTGACCCTGTTGATCCTATTCTTACGACATTTCTACTGAAAACGCTCCAGTGTGAGAACATGGGGAGGAATTGATAGCATTGATTTACAGCATTATCAACTTTGAAGAATCCCAAGACTTAAAAATTAAGCCGCATGGCGACCAGCAGCTGGTGTAATGGTTACATCACTGGACTCCCATGTCGTCGACCGTGGTTCAAGTCCTGGATCCGGTGGCTTAAACTCAAGTCGGGTGCATATGCATGCGTTCCCAAGATCCCGAGAGGAGAATGGAGGAGAAGGGATTGCGGCGTGGCCAGCCCCCTTGGGGGTGAATTCTTACTTTCTGTCTCTCTTTCTGGCAAGCGCATGCACCCTATAGCAAAAACTTCTCAAATAAAAACAAAACAAAACAAAACCAAAAAACAAGAAAAGAAAAAACAAAAGAAAGAAAGAAACTAAGCCACATCGTTGATTAGATTACTATAAAAAAGAACTGACTGAGAAATACTACAGGCTTGTTAAAATGCAGCGGAAGAGAGTAGGTAATATTTTTAGAAATATAAACGGATCAAACCTGAAAGGACCTGTCCTTTTAAAATACATAACGTCTTGGTCACATCTCTATAAAATGCCCTACGATGCAAATTGCTATTAACACAAGTAGCAAATGCTGAGGCCAGCAGGTGGCACAGTGGTTAAGGCACTAGACTCCCACGTGAAGGACTGTGGTTCGAGTCCCAGACCTAGTGGCTTGAGAATCATGCAAGGTCTGTGTGACCGAATTCCCAAGGGGAGAATGGGGGAAAGAGGACTGCAGCATAGCCACCCCCTGAGGGGAGATCTCGCCCTCTCCCTCTGTCAGTCTCTGTCTCTCTCCAGTGAGCACACTCACACTGTGGGGAAAACCATATAGGTACGTCACCCACGCGAGGCGCTGTTGGAGCCGCGCCAAGTGGAGACTGTCTCTACTTACAGAGTCGACAAGGAGTGGAGGGTATCGAACGCTCCTGGAGCCACCGTGGTGATCTGATTGTCGTACAGAGAGAGCAGGCGCACGGAGCCCAGGCCTACGAAGCTGTCGTTCCCCACGCAGCTGATGCGGTTGCTTCTCAGCATCCTGGGGACGGAAGGGGCCTCGTTAGGGAGATAAAGATCGGACACTCAGTACGGACGAGCCAAATGGTGATGCCCCCCCCCCCTTAATTTTTAGGCTTTGCCATGGTGGAACTGATAGGGTCTGTACTGAGGGCACCGCAGGGCCAGAGTGCTGGAGTTGTTGATGGTGAAACGCAGTTGCCGGGTCAGGTGGGCCTGGGCGAGGTTCCTGATGCCATGTGAGGGTCCGGGCGGGCCTGGGCGAGGGTCCTGACGCCATGGGGAGGGTCCCGGCGGGCCT